GTTCGTGCACAGACTGCCCTAAAATACATCATAATAAGTCTGGACCCCTGGATGGGTCCACAGGATTGGAAGGATGCCCTGGTGGTCCCCCTCTTTAGAAGGGGGGCCGCACAGACTGTAACACACATACACACGTGTGTATGTGTGTGTGTGTCTATGAATTCGGGGAGTGGTAGCGTAGCGGTTAGCGCTCTGTGCTACGAACTTGGCGACTCGGGTTCGATTCCCACTCACGGCCAACACCGCTTATCTGATCCGGTCCTGGGCATCCCCCAGGTCGACCTGCTACAATGTATAAACATCGCCACTGGGAAGACAAAGGCGGCCGGGCGTGGGTGCTGGACACCCACCTCCGCGTGTGATGTGCCGACCTTCATTGGTGCTCGCTGACAGCACTTGCCCCAACAGTCTGTTCACGGCTATGCGCACAGCCTGTCACCCCAATCATTTGTTCAACTGGCCGCCAGTGCGGGTGATGAGGATGGCCGGTGTGCAATTCGGCTGCGTTTCCTCTTTTTTTGTCACACGATCAGACCGCGGCTCACGCCGAGGTCGAGCCGAGATGATGAAGTGGCCACTCATTGCACCCACAAACAATTTACCGCAACTGCCTCGCTGATCTCGTCAAGGAGCTGTGAACCCATCACCACGCGAACTCCGGCGATGCTCGCAGCTTTTTGGCTATCGAACGAAGACAGCGGCGCTTCGGGATGCGCTTCTGCGGCCGTCTGGAACGCCTCTTAGGAGGCCGCTGAGAGCTGTGGCACTTTAAATCAGCATTTAGATTGACGAAACTCATTTCCTTAAAGCCGCTTCTTGTTATGTGTTCGTTTGTTCGTCCTTTCCCCGCACCTTCCGATTAGCGCGGCCGGCTACGTACGGCGCGAAAGAAGTTCAACGTACATACGTACATACAAAACGTGCAGTTATACAAAAAAAACTACTCGTGGCAGGCTCGTGTCGAGTGAACTTCAGTCAAAGAACATTGAAGCGAATCTCTCTACTCGTATTCAAAGCACGACAGTGGTTAGTGCAACCGCACTACGAACCCGGGAGACCCGAGTTCGATTCCCTGGCCAGGGCTAATATCGGTGGTGATCATGTCAGCCGGTCCCTGGCCTCCTCTCGGTGAACTCATCCCGAACCGAGTTACATTCTGCGAAAAAAGTTCAGTGCACGTACGCCGCGGGGCGGGGGGTGGTGTAGCGATGACGTTCATCCGTAGCATTTCTGTCACGCTGACCTTTTCCGCGTTGCTTTCTGTGTTGCTCTCTGTGCACGGGCGTCAGGCGTGCGAACACAACAGCCACGAAGATGCTCAGGCCTACAACTTCAAGAACAAACTGATCATCGTGTCGGCGGAGACCGCCGGTAACGGCCTCTACAACTTCATCGTGCCTCTCCGGGCCTACTACAGGCCACGCCGCGAGCTCAACCCGATCATCCTCCTGCTCGACAACCCGTGAGCATCGCTGGACGTTTCGCTGATCAAAAAAAAATCCTTCGTAAATGCGGTGGCTAAGAGATGTTAACTACATCGCCGGGTATGCAGGAGGTCGTGGGTTCGATCCCGACCCTGATGCCTGCTGCTGTATATTTGGAATTTGCGTGTATCTCTCTCCCTGTGGTCGCGTGGATTTTTAAATCCTTTATATTAAGTTCGCATGCTTGCTTGCTTGCTTGCGTGCTTGCGTGCTTGCTTGCTTACGACCGTGCAAATCTTTCGGTCGTTTTTTAACCCACTTCCCATGATCCAATCGAGCTGACATTTTCCACACAGACTCGTTGTGCCAGACAATTAATGTTCGTGAAAAAAAATTCCCAAAATTTTACACTTTTTAGGCAAAAAAAATTTATTTTACATATATTCAAATAGAACTCATTCTTGGCTTTGGTTGAACGTCACAGTATAAGAGCCCAGAGCGTAACCCCTCCACAGGCCGTGGCGGAGTAGCGCAGTTGGTAGCGCCCTCGCTTCTCATGCCAAAGGTCGCGGGATCGATCCCCGCGTCCTCCACAGGCGAATATATTTTTAAATCCTTTATATTAAGTTCGCTGCCACGCATATAAAGGATTTATAGTGAAAAACTTTGTTTTTACGGGTTATACTTATTTCTCATTATCCTCCGGTTTTTCCCTCCACATTTAGAATCAACATCACGTGTTCAGAGTATTTAGCTGCTATAAATTTCCACGTGATAATCCCCTTCGTTGAGCTATCATTTGTGGCCAGGTCGCTTCTGAAAAAGAGCTGTGTAGCTTAGTGGGCCATACCTGGTGCGATAAAAAGTTTAGATTAGTTTGTAATCGTCATCATCACCATCATCGTCGTCAGTTGGCTGAGGTTGAAACCGTGTTGCTGCTGCTGTCACATTTTTGGTGTAGCATCGAGAGGAGCTCACAAATCCTTGAAAGATCTGGACAAAGTCCCATCGGTGAGCTCCTCCGGCAGGCACTGCGTTGGCTGGGTCATGTAGCCCGCATGTCCAGCCACCGCATGCCTAAACAGCTTTTGTTCAGCCAGATTGAGAATAGAGCTTGATGATACCGCACTCGCTGATTCGCTCCGGTCACTCGCTCGCTCACTGGCAGTCAGTTGCATCCTTATCACTCTTCTGTCGATACTACCGTGGTTCGCGGGATTCCTCACCAGCTGTGTTGAGGGCTCGTTCTAGCAGACACCGGCTGCTTTGTC